CAGCTCTCCTGGGCTACAGAGAAGCCTCGGTGATTAAGAGGGCTTGCTGTTACAAAATCCCAGCATAGATATGGGTAAGAAACCCCAACTCTATATGAGGAACTAGTGGCAGCCAACAGCTTCTGGGAAGGGGACAGTCTTGATAAGGTGACTCTTGGTAAGTTGACCAGGTTCCAGTGGATGAACCTACACCAAAGGGCATTTGAGGACACAAACTTGACTCTACAGCCCTTAATATATTGTGATGGTTTGAATAATAATGTCCCCCATAGGCTCCAAGTATTTGAACATTCTGTCCCCAGATGTTGGCACTGTTTTTGGAGGTTTTAGAAAGTGTGGCTATCCTGGAGGAAGCACATCACTTGGGGTGGGCTTAGAGAGTTCTTAAGCCTTGCCAGGTTGCCAGTCGCTGTCTTGCTTCTTGTGCCTGCATGATGACGTGAGAGCTTCACTTCTGCTGTTCCTGTTCCAGCCACCATGCCTCCCTGCCATGATGGACTGTAATTCCCCTAGAATTGTAAGTTCAAATAAACCCTTCCTTCTATAAATTGCTTGGGTCAGTGTTTCTATCACAGCAACCGAAAAGTGACTAATACAGTAACTGGTACCAGAGAGTGGGCTGTTGGCTGTGAAGAACCTGACCATGTGGGGTTTTGGAAAAATGTGGAAGACTTTGGAAGTTTGGGCTAGAAAAGTGGTTGATTGCTATAAGCAGAGCTTAACAGGCCGTTCTAGTAGGTGCCTGGAAGAAAGTAGTGCTGAGAACAATGTAGTTCCAGAGGGAAATAAGGACTTAAGCAACACTTGGGATATTTTGGCAAAGAGTGTGGCTGGAGTCTGCCCTGGACCTAAAAGCTTGCCTGAGGCTAAGTTGAAATGCAATGGACTAATTTCTCTGGCAGAAGAAATTTCAAGACAGCCTAATGTAGAAATGGTGGCATGGATATTAATGGTGAATATTATGCAGATCTACAGTGAAAAGGAGCAAATGGGGCAGAAAGAAATACAGTTTGGATTGAAAAAGAGCACTAGGAAGATAAATGTTGCCGTCCCTGGCAGATGCCGGAGAAGATCCCTTTGATAAAGGAGATTAAAGTGATTAAGAAGGGGCCTAGAGATTCAGACTTAAACAGTGGAGGGAGTGCCTCCAGGGCAAGACCACACCTAGTTAAGCCTCCAACTTGTGAAAGGAAATGCTGCAGGGACCACTGAAGAGAAAAGCTTCTAAAATGGATAAAGCAGGCTGGAGTCCATCCCAAACTTGCAGTCAGACTTGGCAGTGTCATTCACTCCATGCTGGCTTTAGAGGCATGAAAGATGGAAGAGTGAAGGGATCATCAATTCTTCCTTTGAGGTTTCAGAGAGCCTCAGAGGCCAGGCAGCATGAGGCAGGGATTCTCCTGCCTAGAGAAGGCCCTGATAGGCCATTGCATGAAGCTGTGAAGGTGAAGTCTGGTTGGCAATGGAGACCCCAAGAAATTTGTGATGCCAGAGCTGTGAGACATCTGCCAAGAAGACCTGCACACAGGGAGTGGTACCAGCATAGGAGAGAGATGTGTGTTACATGCAGCAAAGCTAGAGAGGCTGAGCTATCTAAGCCCTTTGGAAGTAAAGTCCCAGAAATTGGACATGGAGCTACTGGATTTGGCGTTTGCCCTTCTGGTTTTTGGTCTTGTTTTGGTCCAGTAGTTCCTTACTATGCCTCCATTCCTCCCTTTTGGAATGGTAATGTGTATTCAGTTCCACAGTATGTTGGGTGTGTGTAATTTGTCTTTTGATTTTACAGAGGCTTACAGTTAAGATCTTTACCTGAGTCTCAGAAAAGACTGGACTGTGGACTTTTAAATAGTATTGAGACGTAGTATTCAGACTGATAAAGACTATGGGGACTTTAAAAAGTTGGACTAAATGCATTTTCCATTTTATATGGTCATGAGCCCATGGGGGCCAGGGGGTGGAATGTGATGGTTTGAATGATAATGTTCCAAGTATTTGGACATTCTGTCCCCAGATGGTGGCATTGTTTTGGGAGGTTTTAGAAGGTGTGGCTATCCTGGAGGAAGCACGTCACTGGGGGTGGGCTTAGAGAGTTCTTAAGCCTTGCCAAATCGCCAGTAGCTCTCTTGCTTCCTGTGCCTGTATGATGACGTGAGAGCTTCACTTCTGCTGCTCCTGTTCCAGCCACCGTGTCTCCCTGCCATGATGGACTGTAATTTCCCTAGAACTGTAAGCTCAAATAAACCCTCCCTTCTATAAATTGCTTGGGTCAGTGTTTCTATCACAGCAACAGAAAAGTGATGAATATATATATATTCATTAGAGTACATATATATA